ATAGTCCGGTGAGCTTTCCCCTTGTGTTGATGCTTCAAATCTTGAATTTTCACTGATTTGGGTGCTTGGGTAAGTTGCGATTCATCTTGTGATAATTCGGTGAACTTCCCTTTTGTGTTGATGCTTCAAATCTTGAGTTTTCACTGATTTTGGGTGCTTCGGTAAGTTGCGATTCATTTTGTGATAGTTCGGTGAAATCTCCCCTTGTGCTGATGCTTCAAATCTTGAGTTTTCACTGAATTGGGTGCTTGGGTAAAGTTGCGATTCATTTTGGAATAGTTCGGTGAACTCTCCCCTTGTGTTGATACTTCAAGTCTTGAGTTTTCACTGATTTGGGTGCCTATCTAAGTTGCGAATTACCTTGGGATGCTTCGGTGAACTTTCCGCTGAGTTAGATGCTCTCAAACTTGTGCCCTCACTGACTTTGATGCATGTCTAAGTTGCGAATTACCTTGGGATGCTTCGGTGAACTTTCCGCTGGGTTAGATGCTCTCAAACTTGTGCCCTCACTGATTTTGATGCATGTCTAAGTTGTGAATTACCTTGGGATGCTTCGGTGAGCTTTCCGTTGGATTAAGGTGCTCTCAAAACTTGTGAAGTCCATCTTTACCCCTTGCTGTACCCGGTAACATTCGGTGTGTGTATGTGTGAGTGCTGCAGTCCTCGGTAACTTGTGCAGTCCATCTTTGCCCCCTGCTATACCCAATAACATGCGGTGAGTGTATGTGTGAGTGCTGCAGTCCCTGGTAACTTGTGCAGTCCACCTTTACCCCCTGCTGTACCCAGTATCATGCGGTGAGTGTATGTGTGAGTGATGCAGTCCCCGGTAACTTGTGCAGTCCATCTTTGCCCCCTGCTGTACCCAGTAACATTCGGTGTGTGTATGTGTGAGTGCTGCAGTCCCCAGTAACTTGTGCAGTCCATCTTTACCCCTTGCTGTACCCAGTAACATTCGATGTGTGTATGTGTGAGTGTTGCAGTCCCCGGTAACTTGTGAAGTCCATCTTTACCCCCTGCTGAACCCAATAACATGCAGTGTGTGTATGTGTGAGTGTTGTAGTCCCTGGTAACTTGTGCAGTCCATCTTTACCCCCTGCTGTACCCGGTAACATTCGGTGCGTGTATGTGTGAGTGCTGCAGTCCCCGGTAACTTGTGCAGTCCATCTTTACCCCCTGYTGTACCCAGTAACATTCGGTGTGTGTATGTGTGAGTGTTGCAGTCCCTGATCACTTGTGCAGTCCACCTTTACCCCCTGCTGTACCCAGTGACATTCGGTGTGTGTATGTGTGAATGCTGCAGTTCCCGGCAACTTGTGCAGTCCACCTTCACCCCTGGCTGTACCCGGTGACATTCGGTGTATGTGCGTGTGTGTGGGGGGGGGGGGGTGCAGATCGGTCCCTTCCCCATGTGACCAGTGACTTCCGAAAGTGATATGGGGAAGCCAGGCACCCGAAGTAGAAAACGGAGGCACGGGGCTAGGAGTTAGGATACGTCCAACGAGCCTTCTTTCACGTCCATCCCCCATAGCCGGACCACCCCAACCCTTCTCCCTCCTCCATCACTCACACCCATCCACCATAGCCGACCACCTCCAACTCTCCTTCCTCCTCCGTCACCCACACCCGTCCACCATAGTCAAACACCCCCAACCCTTCTTCTTCCTCCATCACCCACACCCGTCCACCATAGCCAACCACCTCCAACCCTTCCTCTTCCTTCATCACCCACACCCGTCCACCATAGCCAACTACCTCCAACCCTTCTTCTTCCTCCATCACCCACACCCATCCACCATAGCCAACCACCTCCAACCCTTTTTCTTCCTCCATCACCCACACCCGTCCACCATAGCCGACCACCTCCAACCCTTCTTCTTCCTCCATCACCCACACCCGTCCACCATGGCCAACCACCTCCAACCCTTCTTCTTCCTCCATCACCCACACC